GCACATTTTCCCCTCCGCTCTTTGCCGCACCAGAGCCGGCCAGTCTGCCGGGGCTTTGACCTCTCCCCCGCCAGACTCGGAGGGGCAGGCACGATCCGAGGACAGGGCCAGGAGGCGCCTGGTTTATCTCCTAGCAAAGAGCCCGGTGCACAGTCCTGCCCCAGCCGCCCCTGATTAATCGGCTGCCGTGTCAAGCCCCTTGATGAGATTTGAGATCCAAAGGCCAGGTCAGCTCTTTCCACCCACCCCCGGTGATAAAGGGTCTTCAGGGTTAATTAGCCAAGTACCCTTCCAGATGGGGACAAATGAGACATGGGAGGAAAGGGGCACACCCAAGGTCACGCCCAGAATCAGTGCCAGAGCTGGGAGTGGAAACCAGGAGTCCTGTCTCCCAGCACCGCTCCCCCCGCCCAGCTCTAACCACTAAACCCCACTTCTCCCAGAGCTGGGCATAGAAGTGAACCCAGGAGTCCTGGCTCCCAGCCCCCTCCCCCCGCTCTAACCACTAGACCCCACTCCCTTCCCAGAGCTGGGGAGAGAACCCAGGAGTCCTGGCTCCCAGCCCCTGCTGCTTCAGCCGCTAGAACTGCCCCGCTACCTTTCTTGTCCTTCCGGCCCTTCCCGGTCATGCGGGAGAAGTCCATGCGGGGGGTTTTTGGGGTGGACGTCACCGATGACGGCATCTGGTCTGTGGCTTTGGCGATTTTAGACACAGAGGCAAAAACCCCTGAGAAGATGGAGAAAAAAACCCAACAGTCAATGGTGGACTCAGAAAATGCTTAGCTGTAAAGCCCAGGATCCACTAAGCCATATTCCCTTCTGGAGAGAGGAGCAGAACCCAGGCGTCTGGGCTCCCAGTCCCACCCCATAGCCTCTAGACCCCACTCCCATCCTAGAGCTGGGAACAGAACCCAGGCGTCCGGGCTCTATTTACCTTGCTTCGGAGGGCAAATGAAATAGCGTATTCCTCCAACGCTTCCATCATTCTTGCCCTCCGGCTCGTCCAGCTCCACCCCAATCCACTGGCCACTCGCGAACTCCGTCGTGCCACAGAAACGCAGGGTGCCCAGCTACAGAGACGCAAACAGATTGTCAGAGCCAGACGCTGGGGCCGTTCTGAGTCCCCACCCTGCTCCCTGCACC